AGTTTGGTGTAAACAAATCCGAGAAACAAGAAACTACCTTTTTTTTTTCTTTTTTTTTTAATTGTGGTTACTTAGATGCTGGATTAATTTTGCTGCACCACAAAACCTTGTCTTCAGGGGTACCCTGGGAGCAAGTTAGTATGTCTATAGGACACAGCACAGCAAGGAGCAGAATTTCTAGCTCAGGTCACAAAAGCAGACCAGTAGCTGCTCAGCACCCAGCTGTGCTTGTCTCTATCTCTGAAGCACAGTGTCCTATCAGCAGTATCAATTTTACTTTAATGACAGGTCACAGACACCCTGATGTTGATAACTGAACAGATTATTCCCAACAGAGTAAAAATAAGGTAGCAAAGATGATCTTGCACTATCATTGTGGGTTCTCAAACTCTGGTTTCTCATTTTTCCCTACTTACTATTTTAACACCAAGAAAATAGAGCTATGAAAATTAAGGTTAGTAAATAAAATACAATATCTGAATTTCTTCAGTGAAATTTTGTTTTTGAATAATTAACTGTTTCCATGACAGAAACTTAAGAATAATTAAGAGTAGCATCGTAGCCCATCCTAGCTGTTCACATTTGAATAGAAAGTTCCACCTAATAAGACATCCAAAATCCAGACAACTAACATAAGAGTCATGACATCATGAACTAAACATGTAGAGACCTAGTTTAAGACAAGATATACCTCTTCAGGGTCTCCCACACAACATAGTTATCACTATCTTTATGCTGCCTTTATACCACTGTCTTTATGCTGCTATTGACTGAATGGGCATGAGAATATGTTATAGTATAGAGTTGTCCTATAGAGCTACTGATCAAAATTGATTATGCTTTTGTTAATGTAATGATGGTCATAAGTTAGGATGGGACTAAATAACTGGGACAATTACATCTACTAGAATTCAGTGTTGGCTAATATGCTTAAAAAGATACCTCCCAAAGAAAAGATAAATAAGAAAATCCTAAAGTCTCTTTATGTAACTAGTCCTCATCAAATTACTGCTCATTAATGATTCAAAATGCATTAGAACATCCAGATCCCATTTTACTGAACAATGTTGTATGATTCTCTCACTTTCCCTGTCTCATCTGAAGAGTGTGCTTAATGAAATTCCTCCCCCTTCTCCAACCTCCCCAAAAGCTCCAAACAAAACAAAATGAAAACAAACAAACAAAAGCAAAACAAAGAAAAAAATCTAGCATGCAAGTCCTGTGAGGTAGGGAGAGGATTTGGGGTCATGTCAAAAATTTAATCACTTTTGGAAACCTATATAGTAAAAGTACTTTAAAAACAGCAACTTTTTTATGACTGTGTACTCTGTCCAAAGCAGCACATTAAGAAAACACCAAAGTAGAGAAGGAAAAAGGGAACTAAAATGGTTAAGAAAAAAAGAATCTGGATCAGGAAGATACTATTACAACTGCCTAGGGGAAAAATATTGCATTTTTTAAAATTAGGTACCATCTCCCAAACAATCTTTTTCTATATCCTGACAGTTCCTCAGTACAAGATGTGCACTACCAGAACTATCCCATTTTCCAGTGCTTCTGATGGGAAAAGATATTATGCTATAATGAATCTAACAATCTTATATCCTCTATTTATAATGGACCCAGAATGCTCCAAAAATAATTGGACCGGTTTCTTAGCTTCAAGTCTTGTACTATTACCAGTGCTTAGCAGCAAAGAGAATTGAGCACTTTACTAAGTAATAACATGAAAATTCAAAGAAAAACTTTCCAGCATACTGTGAAGTTTTATCAGGCATTAGGTGATTTAAGTTCACTTCAGACCGTGGTTAGCTGAGGCAATCTTTTGGACCTGATTTATCAGAGATAGGGGGTTTTAGCCACTATGTATCAAAATACTGTACTAGAATGGAGCCTGGTAGAATGCAGAAAGACTGAACTAAGCTAAACAAGTTTCATTAAGGTGATTGGAATTTACATATCTTCCAAATATAACTTGTAGATCAAATTTTCCTAGCAAATGGATTAAGACTTATTCTTAGCATAATAATTACCTAGACAAGGAAAAACAAATCAGCAACACTACCTAAAACCCTAATGCTGCAATAAGGTGTAAGTAAGCATTTGTACAGCTTTAACGTACAAAAGTAAACCAAGTCATCCATCTACCGTAACATGAATTAACCTTTAATTAGCCCCAAATACATATCTACAGTAGATTTCCATTTTGCTGCCTTTCCCATAGGCAGTGTTACCCTCCTCCCCCAAGTTCTGGTCTTCCTTTGAATAACTGAATGTTTCATACCATAGATCTTACCTGAGCAATTGCAAAATCTACTTGAATGTTTTTATTTGCAACACAATGAATTTAAGTCTAATGTATTTAAACGCTACTTAGAAGCAACACTTGCAGGTCAATTTGTTGGTTTCTTAAACATCCACAGGCACTTCAGGTTTGCTCTTGTTCAGAGCTCCTACATCTGACATCATCAACAATCTGAACTGGCTGTGATTTTCTATGTCACACTTACCTTGTTTGCTATGGCTTTATAAAAGTACTGATGAAAGGCTTATTATAAACATGTTCCATATGATTTTTTTCTCCCTAACAGCTCCAGTAGACGAGATTCTTAACTCCCAACTATCTAACTACATTCCTCTGCAGCTATACTTGCTAAAACACTGTTCAATGGCACATGATTTCATCAGACACAATTTGCACAAATAACACTAAGAGCAGACTTCATTTTTAACATCATTAAAGAAATAAGGGCTTAGGTCAGCCAGAATTTCTGATGGAAACAGGATGACTCCTCTTTCATACCACTTGTTTGTGACTCCACAGTATTTAAAACTCCAGTTACTGTGTACTGATATGTAATTATTTTACTTCAATTCTCCTATGCTTAGAAAAAACACCAAAACAACAAAAACAACAACAACAACCACCAAAACAAACAAACAAAAAAAACCCCACAAGCAGAAAACCCACAACAAAAAAACCCCCCACAAATATACAGAGAGATCGAGTCTGTTTATTCTGAAACAATGTAAAAATGTTAAAAATATTTAGGGGTATTACATCATGGAAAAAAAACCCCAAACAATTGAAGGTTTTTTTCCTGCTGTTTTTTGGCCTGGGGAGATCCAATTTGCTGTTCCATTCTGAAATAAAGTACAAGTACATTGGCTGCAACATGAAAATTTCCAAGAACTCATTTGTTCAAGAACACATTTTGTGTGTTTACTAGGTGCTTGAGATAATGAAAAAATAAGTTTGGAACAGTGAAATTTAATTTTGCAATTAATGATCTATCATATTTATTCCTTTAAAGATGCTTATGCCTCAACAGAACTTTTATACTCAGGAAAGTAAGGCAAAAGAAACACTTGCAATTTGAGGCATAATTTCACTCCGAAGTTTTATAGTAGCCTACGTATTATCCCATTTTTTCATTAGTAGGTTTTAAGGTACTTCACAAAAGAGATCAGTCCTATTAATCTCAAGTTCCAGGTGAAGAGGTTCTCACTGAAATACAGTTTTCTCCAACAGGATATGGTTTGGCCCCTCCATACATCAAGGTAGTCCCTATACAACCTACCACATTTTATTCTTTCTTGCTTTGCTTTACTGGCTACAAACATGATATCAAATGCATAAACAGAGATAATACATGCATGAATTATATGGAAGTAAACTGTAACTCAGACTTGTGGCACAGTGGAATTTGGAGCCTCTAGAAACCAAGTTTATAAGGTTTTACAGAAGTAGTATAAAGTTACCTATGAAGACAACACTAGCAGAAGTACTTCTGCTAGTAGTAACAGAAGAGTACACATGATCTCAAAAAGAAACCCCAAAACAACAACAACAAAAAAAAAAAAACTGATTTTTTTCCTGGCAGAAGTGTCTTCACTCTTCCTACTCAGGGGTTGTGTCTAATGCCATGAGGAAATGCACAGCGAGGGCACTGTGTTTGTACATGTCCATGACAGTGCATTGCCAGATAGCCCTCAGGAGACACCTTTGCCTCTTGGTTGCCACAGATGCACAGGCACGTATAAACAAATGGCAACAGATGCCACGATTTGAAGGGTGCACTTATGCAATTGCTTGCAACATAACAAGATTTAACGCTCTTGAGAAATGCTTTGGTATTGGCTTGGGGTTAGAGAACGTATTAAACACTATAAAAGCCAATTGCTGAGGACTAGCTAACAATTCTTTCTTGTATAAATACATACTACACTCACAGAAAGTGTCGAAGTCTTGGCTTCTTTTGGGGAAAAGCTACTGAAGAATAGTCAATAAGCAATTTTCTCCTGTTAGCCAAAAAACATCTATGTATATCAGACAGCTCAGTTGCCAGTCTTTACAGCCATAATAAATACAAGTTTCTTTGGGAGGCTGGGGAGATTAAACAGTGTTCGTGATACTTGTTAAGTATTTCTTGACAAAATATTTCAGCGTGATGAGATTTTGTACTAGAAAACAAAGGCATAACCCATCATTACATTAGCTAAAACACACTGTGTCTCACCAATTGCAGCTCTGAGAGTCATCAGCCATTCTATTCACTTCAGAAAGGACTGTTACGAATCTCTGTTGTAAAATGCCTCATTTCGTTCAAGTTACTCTGCAAACCAAGTCCCTGTTGCTCACAAGCATGAATGAACCCTGATATAGTCCAAGCAAGAGCATTGCATTCTCAGGCTGGCTGAAAGGTAGCAATAATGGACTTGGAACAATCCTCTTTGGGCTAAGACCCAGAATGAAATAGCCTTCCCTGCCTAACCACCCTCCCTTAATCATTGCCAAGCTTGTTTCTAACTATGAGTACCTGTCTTCTTTGAAATCCTATTCTAAGAAGGGAGCAGGAAATGTGTGTGGAAATTACAGGTTAGCACTCTGGTAAACTCATAAAACACTGATGGGTTCTGTGGCTTGCTGAGACCACCGGTACTTTCACATCACCATGCTATGATTATTAGCAATCCAAAATTAAAATAGTTACTCTGAAAATGGATCATTTTGCTGTTTCATGCTGCCAAATGAACCTGTAGGCAGGCATTGATATTTCACTGGGGTCTGAAGGTGAATGGAAATGGAATTGAGCTGAATGCTAAATTTAACACTATTCACAGGAAACCAGGTCTCTGAAACCAAAACAGATGAATCTTGCAATGAGTAAGTATTGGATTAGCAGCCTGAATGCTTCACTAGTTTCATCTTTCTTACCAATATTATATAGGGAAGGTCTCCCTGTTCCATTCCTGCTTGTCAAATAGGTGCTGAGTAATCAACTTCAGACCAGGCTGATGGTGGATAGGTAGCAATGAAATCACCTTATTAATATGGTACATAGATTATAAGGGTCAAAATATTAATTTAAAGTATCCTGTTTTTTTCTTCAGCAAAAGGTTACCTAGCTTGCAGTATATGGGCCTTCGTCCAATTTTGCCTTTTGTGTTACAGTGATAGGAAGGCAATTTGCCACTGCCACTTCTACTAATCTATCTTCAAATCAGAAGTGAATGAACTAACAGAGCTTCAAGGACAGAGTTAGCTGAACCTTCACTAGGAGTTTCAATGAGATTAATTGACAGGATATTTTAAAACTCCCTTTGACAGCCTGACAGCAAGATAAGTTGGAACAAAGGACTGTCCTAGCTCTGTTTTCTGTGTTTATAAAAATGCCAGACAGTGCACTCCACAGTGAGGTGGGAAGCAGCAAAGCTGACAAGTTGCTCCTTCCCCAGGCAGATCAGGGTGGTATATGGAAATCTTTACCCAGCCACGGGGTGAATAGAAAGGAAGCCATGAAAGCTAAAAGCAGACATGTCACAGCAAATGGCTCTCTTACTGCAAGACAGCCACTCCTGGAGAGCATAGAAGCAACAGGATGTATCTGCTAGTACCTGGGCACAGCTCATTCACCTAGCAGTAAAACATTTTTAAAGGTCTTAACAGTAGGAATGGAACACCCCCATTTTTGCCAGGTAATTACTTCCTAATATGAAAGAAAAAAAGGGTTTGTTTCCTGTTATTTTTAAATTCACTACACTTTTTTATTTTTAATTAAAATCTTTTAGAGATAAACATAGGAGATATCTTAGAAGAAAAAAGATGTTTGAAGGATCCTTGCTCTGTTCATCCCCAGCAGAGTTGCTTGCAGAGAAGAGGAGCTGTGAACACTTTTACACAAGCAAGCTGCATATTTCTATCACACTTTGCTAGAGTAGAATTCAATCTGAGCACACTGTCAAAGGAGGGCTGATGGCAGGCAACTAGTTCATTCCTTATTCCAGGCCTTTTATTCCAACAAGTTCATTTCACAGGATAGTTAACAGATCTTCTCATGAGAAGGATGACTGCTCAAAGCACTTAGGGTGTTGTTGTTTTAATATCAAATCTATACTGAAGTGGTTGACACAAGTAGTGCCATACAAAGTAGCTTACTAAGGCTAGTGGAGCGGAACAAGACATGAAACCTAATATCAGCATTCCTCTGTTTCTGAAAGTTCAATGAAGTCTCTTGATGCTGTGGGTATTTTTCAAATACAATGCCTTCATACATTTTAGTTACAGCAAATGTAACTATATTTGCAGATTAATTTGCTGGGTAAAGATTTCACTTTGAAAGTATTCTTTCAATTTTTGCAGTCCTTACACACCTAACACATTCCCACTGACATTTACGTGGTATAAGATTATTGCACTTTATTTCTTTGCAGGGAAATCATCCGAAAGGAGGAAGACAAATCATTTATCACCAGTTCAATGCATATGTCCTGATTTTATGTGGTATGTAATTGTTTATATAATAAGTATTTATAATGTAAGGAAATTAAATATGATACAAAGCTACTACAGAGAAAATATTTTCAATCATTAATGATGAAAGTCAAAGAGAGTTCAGCTTTTCCTCCTGTTTTCCAAAAGTGCTTTTGAACTCATCCTGGCTGTTTCCACGGCCTCCACTGAAAATCTCCTCTCTCTCCTGTCACAGAAGTCCTTTAAACTTCACTACTACTTTGACCCATTGAATTCTTTTCCAGGTCATTAGGTATCTAAATGTAACAGAACACCTATTATGTATGGTTTGTCCCAATTATCAGAAGTCATGAGGACTGTGATGGTTGATTCATGAACCACATCTTTAACAGAATGAGAAAAATATTAGCTCAATTAATTTGGTTTTAAGTTCTTTCTGCAGCCTTTATTTTCACAAAGATATACACACACAATCCCATGTCACTTGGTCAATAGAGAATGAGTCACCTGCGGTTATGCTGCTCACACTTTCACCCTCTAAACTTGCATTAGCAATTAAAAAGTATTAATTGAACATATGGATTGCACTGAAGGTCAAGACTCATTTTAACTCATACCTAGATATTTGTTAGGAGCAACCATTGAACTGTGCCATCACTATGGTATCTATGTCTAGTGAAAATGAACATTGATCGTTTTTGCCAATATTACATTGTTGTACCAACTGTCAGTAAACTGCACTTTCCTGTCACCATGGAAGAAGAACAGTGCAGAAAACAGAAGTGTCGGTGATGGCTACTATGCTTTTTTTAAGGCACATGGAGATAAAAACACTTTATCTCAAAATAATTATTAGGTTTTGGAAGTTTCCCTGAATTTTGAGAGATCGTTCACAAAGAGACTCAGCCAAATAACATTTGGGCTTTTTCAAGTATATGGAAGTTTGTCCATGAAGAAATTTCCAAATGCTCCCACATATCTAAAATGGTTGTGTTCATAGACCAATTTGTTTAGTGTTAAAATTGCATTCCCCTGCATGTCCCCGCATCAAACCCTGTGAACAGTATAGGTGTTGAGTTTTGAAGTTGCAAATGCCTGAGATTTTGCAAAAGCAAAAATCTAATTCTGGGCATGATAATTAGTAGAGAGACACCTGCATTTGTCAGCCAAGCATTCACGCTCTCTATTAGTCTGCTTACAGTTGCACTTAACTTGTTCATTGAGCATACAAATATCAAATCCATAACAAGCAGTTTCCTGTAACTGCTGCTCATCCCAGTGATGACCAATAGAGAGGAGTGACAAAACGTAAGAGTCTGCACTGAGATCTGTTATTCTGAGTTCTGCCAAAAACACCACGATAGGTAAAAACACATGGAGGAAGAGGGAAAAAAAAATGGCAGGGGGAAAATGCTTACACAGCCACAAGAGGGACACAGGGTCATGAGAGGTGATCTTTATGCATACAACTAGATGCAAATTAGTTGGTCTGTTACACTCAGAGAGAAAAGAAAAATCTGCAGACACACTGAATACTTCTATCTTATGCCAGGGTCAAATCAAAACTGTTGACAAATGTCAGCAGCCACATGAGATGTTGAGCAACAACTCTAAAATGCCTGAGACCACACCTCTTCTCTCCTCTATCTCAGATCAAATGAGTTTACATCCTTACATGAATGCCAATAGGCAAGTGCCATATTTGAGTTTGACTAGAACTAAGTTAATGGTGCTAGAAGACTGTTGAACAGCTTCCAACACCTAGATTAGCAAAAGTATGAAGATATTCTTTATTTTTAAAAAGTTCATGGCCTCAGTTATGTTGGAATATTAAAGTTCTCTGTGGCCATCAGTCTGAACTTCTGTCACAGCTACTTGAGGGCAACTATAGCAACTCAATCACAAAGCATCTGGGGGAAAGCAGAATCCCAAAAAAGCCTGTGATTCATTCTACAGTGTTCTGTTACTTCAGGGGGCGAACACTATTACCAGCACTCATGACAGTGAGCAAGCCTGACTCGTCAAAATGATTTTTTCCAACACTGAACTCAGAAACCTGTACGAAATCTTACTCATGCTTGTGGGCTTAGAGATTGGTAGAACCGATACAGAAACTGTTGGAGTTTAGCAGCAGTGGTCATCAGAACTAAGGGAAGCATGCAATGAATTTATTATTTAATAAATTTTCATGTTCTCTGGTTAGCTTGAGTCAGTCCCCACAGGAAACTGAGGGGTTTCTCCATAGGAAACCTTCTGCATCTACTTCAAGAGGGTTGATATTAATTTTATTTTTAATAAAATATTTTTTTAAGTATCTAAATTAACAGAAGCAACAAAACACTACTTGTCTCCGTGCTTCAGGAGTAGCAGTTATGTATGACACAGTTATGTTTTCATCTCTTATGCTGTATTTCTTCAGAATACACCCAGTTGCCAGATTTTGAAAAAATGAAGAAAAATTAGATGAAGAAAAAAAAAACTTTTCCTGAAAATAGTATAGGGCTTTTCCTATAACTCCCTACCATAGCACTACTTCCCTCTTTAGTGATATTTTGGTACTGACAATGCAGTGCAAATTAAGAGAAGTAAGCCTTTCTGCAGACAGAAGCATACTTACAGAGTTGGACTGAAGCCTCAGCAGGACAATAAAGAAGCTCCTCTAGAAAATAAAAAATATATATAACTACAATAGACATTTAAAAGGAATATATCTCCCAGACATATCACCTTCCTTCACAAGTGGAGACTGCAGGATAATTTATGGACACTAGCCATTTGCCACTCCTATTGGCTTTCTGAATTTCTTTTTCAGACAGGCTGTGACTGTCAGAAGACACAAACTGCACGTGATCCCTTTGAAAGCAGCAGCAACCACGGCCCTTTTTTCTACCCACTAAAATAAGGCATGACCTTGATGTTGCAAGTCTCTAATTAATACTCAAAAAAGCAAGTTATATATAAACACCCAGTGCAATATATGAAAATTAAGAAGATTTCCAGCTGTAAAGCTCAAATATCAAGCTACTCACAACTGGGCTGAGTGGATCTGAGAATCCTTTAGAGTCAGCATCAAGCATCACTGATGCACAAGTACAGCACTGTTTGAAGAGATTTGTGCTTAATTTGCGATTAAAGGCTTGCAACTCATAAAACAGAAAGGAGGAGAGAAAGAAATAAAGCTGGTCTGCAGAAAAATAGATTCCAGCCTACCTGCTTTTTGTACTTCTGTCCATAATTCTGGAAGCTGGTGCTTTGCTGTGCTGATGAAACTGTCATTGAATTGATTGTCTCAGTTGCTAAGGAAACCAAAGGGATGAGGCTAATGGATACTATTTATGACACCAAAAAGCTTAGAAAATGTTTGCCATGAAAAGATGATGTCACAAGTTAGTTAAAAGCTACCTTGAGTATTAGCACAGAAAAGAGAACTAGATAGGATTTTTTCCTTTTTTCCCTCTGACACTTTTTTTTTAATCAGACACTTATGGCTTTATGCACTCCAGCTGGTTTGACCTCTCAGCATCACTTCATAGTAATTTTTCTACCTTTATTTCAAAGCACTGAAGTTAGCTCAAACACAGAGTCATTCTAATTCTAAGCAGTGGAGACTAGGATTTTTTTAAAAGCATCACACAATGTGCAAAATAGAATTTTACTTTGGGAATGCTGACCAGAAGACAGAATTTTTGAGTCAAAGGCATTTGATTTGAGATTCTTCCACCTTTGCTCTTATGAACTGCAAATTATGGAAGATTTTCATAATAGATATGGCAGACCTCATAAAACAAACCTCTATGTGACAAATTATATTTTCAGGAACCTGTGATTATATAGTAAAAAAAAAAGGCAATGTCCATTAAAAAGAGACAGATTTTCTAAAAACATAAAAAACCACCAGGGAACTGCAAATTATTTTTTCTTTCTCCACAAGCTACATGTTCACAGCATGAGTCATGTATCAAAAGCAACCACACAAGTCTGAATAAGTGAAGGATCGAGCTCCAGGCATGTATTTATTTACAGAAGGCTCGAGGAGTTATTTCTGCTCTGGAGTCACAGATGACCCATAGTCAGACACCTTGTTGCCATGGAAATCTCACACTATCACTCTCTGCCTTGTTCCCATTCAAGATGCTCCTTTGCATCCCTGGTGATCCCTGCCTGCCACAGCTCCCATGGGCCCCTCAGCTTGGGCAGGCAGCAACTGCTGGCGGGACTGGAGCACATTTAACCCTGTCTGGCACTTCCAGTTATAGGAAGGTCCAGAAAGTGAATCTTTAGACTTATGATACTTTACTGAACATCTTTTGCCACCTTACATTCTCATGCACAGAGAGACCTCTAAAGTTGTGTCTTATTGCTTAATTAGTGTTATAAAGAAGTAAACACAGAAACTAGTGCCCGTCTGTGCTACTGAGATAGTAGGAAGTCCTAGCCAATTAACAAGAATTTGTTCCTAGAGAAAGGAAAGAGAAACAATATCCTATGTCTGCTCCTTCTTATGGGAAAGCCATTCACTGAGGCAATTCAGTGACAGAGGTCATAAGGCACATCCAAAACAACAACATAAAAGCAACGTAAAAACAAAACACACACACACACCAAACCCCTAAAAATTTGAAAGACAGAGGGAAGCACACACTGCACATGAGCACAGAGTCATAGAATCTCTTGAGTTTGAAGGGACCCGTAAGGATGAGAGTCCAACTCCCTGTTCCTTGAAGGACTACCTAAAACTAAACCATGTAGGCAAGAGAATTATCGCTCCTTGAATTCTGACAGGCTTGGTGCCATGACCACTTCCCTGAGAAGCCTGTACTAGTGACCAACCAGCACCTCAGTGAAGAACCTTTTCCTAACAGAATCACAAAGGAAGAATCATAGAATGGATTGGGTTAGAGGGAACCCTTAAAGGTAACCTAGTCTAACCCCCCTGAAATGAGCAGGGACATTTTCTATTAGATTGGGTTGCCCAGAGCCCATCTACCACCTCTCTGGGCAACCTGTTCCAGTGTTTCACCACCCTCAATGTAAAATACATTTCTTCCTTATAACCAGTCTAATTCTACTCTCTTATAGTTTACAACAATTGCATCTTGTCCTACTGCTACAGGCCCTACTAAAAAGTTTGTTCTCATCTTTCTTATAAGACCCCTTTAATTATTGAAAACCAAAAGAATGTCTCCCTGGAACCTTCTTTTCTCAATGCTGAACAACCTCAACTCTCTCAGCCTTTCCTTATAGGAGATTTGTTCCATTGCCCTGATTCTCATCCCCCTGATCATCTTCCTGGCCCTCCTCTGGACCCACTCTAATATGTCTTTCCTGTGATACAGACTCAAGGTCGATCTCACCAGAATGGAGTAGAGGGGCAGAATCACCACCTGCTGTACACACTTCTTTTGGTGCAGTCCAGGATATGGTTGGCTTTCTGGGCTGCGAGAGCACATTGATGGTTCATGTCCAGCTCTTCATCTGCCAGTACCCCCAAGTGCCTCTCCACAGGGCTGCTCTTCAGACTGTACTGATACTGAGGAGTGCCTTGACCCAGGTCCAGCACTTTGCACTTGGCCTTGTTGAACCTCATGAGGTTCCCATGTGCCCACTTCTCATTTGGGCCAGTGTGAACCCAATAAGAAAGATGGTTTCCAGATTCCCATTCTCCTGATATTGGGAATTGTGGAGAGCTCTTTCAATCTCCACTGGTGGCCACAGCCCACAGAACCTGAACACGTTCACCAGGAAGCTCTGCACCAGCAACAGTCCCACCAGTCAGACTGAAGTAGCACAGAGTAGCCTCATGCTTTCTATCCAGAGGGCTGTTCTATACACCATCACTGTTGGCTGGCTGGCTGGCTGGCTGCTTCCTATGTGCTGTCCCAGTGTACCAGGGTGAATTTATGCTGATACTTTTGGTCTGTGTTTGGCCCTCCCACCTGTGAAAGCTTTGCTCTTTCCGTGCCAAGTTATGGGAAAACAAGCACTGATAAACGGGAAAGTTGTCCTTGGAGGGAGAACTTCTGTATAAACTGTTTTAATTGGTCTTCTGTGATTGGTTAATGGCTCGTCAAGGCCATTTGAAGGAGATTTTGATGAGGAGGGGAGGAAGGCTCGTCCCCAGACTCAATTAAGAAAGACCCCCAAAACATACTGCGCGTGCGTGAGGGGATTTCCGAAGTTCTCACGCATGCGCAGAAGAGCTGCACTTACATAACCAGGAGGTAGGACTGAGGGCCTCTGGCTGGGCAGTGCTGGCCACACCTGGGAGGTTGTGGTCACTCAGTTAATTGTATAAAAGTAGATAGTGCTTTCTTGGAGAGGAGTTAACTTCACACCAAGGACAACGTTGCCTTTTGGCGGGGATGCCTGCCAGTTTTGTGAACTTACTGACTCTCCAAGGATGCCGCTTCTGCTATGGGTAATTATAGGCACGCTAGGTCGGTAAGATAACTTTATGGGCAACAGCTGGGTAACTGGGGCTTATTTCTCTCCTCCTTCCTCCCTTTTGGGTTTGTTTGTTTTGTTGGCCACCCTCTTGGTAATAAATCTTGGTTTTTGTTAAGCTTTCAACAGTGTCGTGGTTTCAAGCTTCAGTATATCCTCGAACCTCCTCCCTAATACACCTAGTCCAAAGCAACAGAAGAACTGTAGATGTTTTTTACATCATCTCTGCAGTTGCAAATCTCTGCATAATGAGAAATATAGCTCTTTCCTAATACAGAAGATAGGAACAAGGGCCTAAAATAAGTTAGAAAATACAGGATTCAGAAAGCTTATTGGAAAAAATATGGAACAGCATACCATCTAAAGAGATACAGGGCATTAAAAGCACTTCCATTGACGTGACCCAGTTGCAGACATTGACCTGTGGTGATATTTGAAAACATTAAAAAAAAATAATCCTAGTCATTATTTTTCATACAAATACACAATTACATTTCCAGAAATATATCTCAATTTTACCCAGCCTGTAAGCATTAGAACTGCATCCTATCAAGACATACCTATTTGAAGTAATTTCAGTATGAGACCATTAGTATCACAGTGTAATTGAAGGAAAAAAAAAGTTATGACATTTCCAAGTCACCTCTAGGCAAAAACATTTGAAGAAAACACCCTCTCACTACTGCCCAGTGCTGCTGTTCACCTTTTAGCCTCCTCTGTGGCCTCAGGAGAGAAAGCTAAAAACGGTGTTACTGACAGTTTTACAGTTTGTGAAATTTAAATAGCTCTCTTTCTGTTTGAGATTGAAGGGGATTTTTATTAGTAGAAGTAGTAGTCCCAGCACTGAAAATTAGCCCCTTCCAATTAAGGCTTCAACAAGAAGTAATGTCTTCCTTCAGGGAATACACTGACATTTTAAATTAAAAAACGTTCCAGCTAACAAGCTTATAAATCTTCCCAATTAAGTGTATTCTTTGCTAGTTTATGAGTCTTCTGTTCAATTTGACAATCCTAATCTTTCATGGGGTGCAGGAAAGGATGACACCACTGTGGAAGTTGCTTTCCAGTTCTTCTAGTGGAAGGGGATAGAGACACCCTCGCTGACTATATTTTTATTTGACAGATCTGAGCCAAATGGCACCTCAAAGCCCAGATACTCTTCTTTGCTGTCAAGTAAAAAGCTTTTCAGTCAACCAATAGCCTCTGTGACACATTTCTCATTATCTGTAAGGAAACTCTGTCAGCATCACTAGAAACACAGCACAACGTGACTCTCCCACAGGAGCATTTTGCACACTTCTCCATGGATTATCCTTTTACCAATCAAAGCTTTCAGGGAACAAAGTCAGGGTTTGTTCTAGGAGGCAGTGTCATGCGGTGGTGATTGGTGGTGCCAGATGAGGTAGGCTGGAGGTGAAAACTACCATAAGTACCCCTTTCAGCAGTATTAAATGTAACTTTTCTTTCTGTTACATAGATGGGTTTATTTCCTTCTGATATGTTGAGAGGGTAGCTGAAAAGAACAGCTAAATAGGAGATATAAAAGAGACATCTGAAAAAGTCACAAACAGTGAGCAATACAAGAAAAGAGCATGGGGAAAAAAAAGAACAGAATATATGGAGAGTTCACTGCCTTTTTTGAAAGACAGATGTCAAAAGTTATCATCCTAAATTGGATGAGGCAAGCAAGGGTACCACCTAACACACTGTAAAAACACAGCCAGCTGAAACACCATGTTGTCTAACCAAGTGTGATCACAGAATCACAGCATGGTTGAGGTTGTAAGAGACCTCTGGAGATCATCTAGTTCAACCCTCCTAAAGCA